CTTGCACCCAAGGCACACGCAGCACCACTCATGAACCCTGTGCCTAGCCCATACGTTTTCATTTGTTTATTGAGTTTGGGGCGACACTTATCTATGCTCAAGGGCTATTCCGGACTATTCTATGCTCCCTGGCCGTGCTTTGAAGGATCTCCTATGGTGCTAGGGACAGAACCGGGGTTGGCTGCATGCAAGGCCAGGGCCTTACCCCTGTACTATCTGACTCCAGGTTTCTAATTTCAATGCCTAAATAAGGTCTTAGAATGAGAGTGTTCGTAAGAAATGCAGCAGTAAAGCATCTCTCTGTTGATAAAAAGGACTCTGAATGCCACCACTGGCTTTAGAGATCAAACCAAAAGGAAATAAAACAAGCCAGAGCAGGACTCCAGCCTGTGCTCTCGGAGAGGTGGGATGCAGTGGGTCTGACTGGCTGGTTCGTGATGCAGCACGGATGTGGATTTTTCTCTTCCCCTTTACAATAACAAGGAATAACTGGAAAGGTCCCGCATGTCGCTGGTCCTTTGGCCCAGATCAAGAGGCGTGGACTAGAAAACCCAACTTGTTTCTAGAAGGAGGAAAGCAGGAGTGAGCAGACATGGGAGCCCCAGCCCGGAAATACCTAGGACAGACTCGGGCCTGAGAGAGGCTGCAGTCAGAGCCATCGGTTAGCTCAGGAATGCCAGCTCCCAGGTGCCGCCTCCTCTGCCAGACAGAGCTATCAAAAAAACAAAGCTTCTCAGACTGATGAGATGTCGCTCCATGCTCCATCCGCGCTAACTCACCGGAAGCGGGGACCAGCATGTCTACCCCAGTGCTTCCTGAGAGACCCTCATCCCACGAAGCCAAGGTCCAGTCGCTCTCAGGCCCAGGGTCCCCAGACCCATACTTAAGTCTTGATCGACACTTTGCACTGATTCTGTGTCCGACCCACGAAATCCTGTGTCTCATTTCTCATTTCTGAACTGGTCTTTGTGGCTAGCTCGCTCTCACACAGTCTCTCTCTCTCTCTGTCTCTCTCTCTCTCTGTCTCTCTCTCTCTGTCTCTCTCTCTCTCTGTCTCTCTCTCTCTCTCTCTCGTGCTGCTGCAGCATCACTGACAGCAGAGAAACAGACCTGGTCATTGGGGTCACCGGGCCACTGGGACAGAAAACCCATTTTGGCTTCCAGTAATGTCTAGCACCCCCCCAAGCATGAGGGCTCCTGGTGGGGCCTAGCAGCGGTCTCTGGGCCTGAGAACGCTACACAGCCAGAGCATCAACTATCTCAGAGGGATCAGGCCCCACGTCCAGCGTGATGTTGAGAGGGGCTGAGGGAGAGAAGCATGTCATGCGGAAGTCACGGGCTCTGGGCTTTGCCACTGACCCGGGTGTTGACAGGCAGCTCACAGAGAAATGTGAGCTTGGACTCAGATCAGCCCCTGATCCAAAGGCACCCTCACGCCTGGCCCAGACTGTCCGGAAACTGGGCACTAAGAGTTTCCTTCCCCAAGATGAGGCGGGGGCACTGCTGAGGCCTGGAAGCTTCCCTCTGCACGGGGCAGGGTCAGAGCCGCCCTCTTGGTGGGGTAACAGCAGTGAGACCCCATGGACACCGTGGGTGACAAAGGGATTTGAGTCTCTCCACTTCCAAACCTATCTCACAGCACTGGCTGATTATATTGGGGATGGGGGCCACTCCCTGCCCGTCACCTTTACTTTGCAAAGCATCAGTCAGGGAAAGAAACAATGGAACAGTGAGAGTGCAGAGGGGCTGTAAGAGCCCCCGGTGAGTGCCAGATGCAGAAGCAGCAACATGGCTGCACCAGTGCTGGGGGCATGGAGGAAACTGCACGGTCTGAGGCGCGGGGCTGGGGCAAACACTGCATAATCGATCAGAGATGCAGGGCTGCAGTGAACACCATGATCGATCAGAGATGCAGGGCTGCAGTGAACACCATGATCGACCAGAGATGTGGCTCTGGGGTGAACACTGCACAATCAATCAGAGGCGCAGGGCTGGAGTGAACACTGCACAATTGATCAGAGATGTGGGTCTGGGGTGTACACTGCACAATTGATCAGAGATGTGGGTCTGGGGTGTACACTACACAATCGATCAGAGGCGCAGGGCTGGAGTGAACACTGCACAATTGATCAGAGATGTGGGTCTGGGGTGTACACTACACAATCGATCAGAGGCGCAGGGCTGGAGTGAACACTGCACAATTGATCAGAGATGTGGGTCTGGGGTGTACACTGCACAATTGATCAGAGATGTGGGTCTGGGGTGTACACTACACAATCGATCAGAGGCGCAGGGCTGGAGTGAACACTGCACAATTGATCAGAGATGTGGGTCTGGGGTGTACACTACACAATCGATCAGAGGCGCAGGGCTGGAGTGAACACTGCACAATTGATCAGAGATGTGGGTCTGGGGTGTACACTGCACAATTGATCAGAGATGTGGGTCTGGGGTGTACACTACACAATCGATCAGAGGCGCAGGGCTGGAGTGAACACTGCACAATTGATCAGAGATGTGGGTCTGGGGTGTACACTACACAATCGATCAGAGGCGCAGGGCTGGAGTGAACACTGCACAATTGATCAGAGATGTGGGTCTGGGGTGTACACTACACAATCGATCAGAGGCGCAGGGCTGGAGTGAACACTGCACAATTGATCAGAGATGTGGGTCTGGGGTGTACACTGCACAATCGATCAGAGGCGCAGGGCTGGGGTGAATACCACAATCAATCACAGATGCGGGGCTGGGGTGAACACAGCACAATTGATCAGAGGCACAGGGCTGGGGTGAACACCACTAATCGATCACAGATGTGGGTCTGGGGTGAAGACCATGATCAATCAGAGGCGCGGGGCTGGGGTGACCACCAAGCATGACCGGAGGCACAACATGGCTTCCGCTTTATGGTTTTCTGAATCAACCTTCAGAGGAAGCAGAGATTTCATTCTGGCTGCACAGCAGAACGGAAACTTCTTTTTCACACAAACATCTTTTGTGAAGTCAAGGGGCAGAGCCGGGAGCTGGCTGCAGGCCCGGGGTGTCCAAGTGGATGAGCCCAGAGCAGCATCCCGGCACCACACTGAAGGGGACAAGACACTGTCTGGGGGTGTCACCCGGGGGCCTGATCTTCAGGCGCGCACAAAGAATCTGGGGGGTCCACGGCAAAGCCTCTGGGGGGTGGGGGGGGGAAGCCCGTTTCCTCTGGAGCAAGTCTCGCAGCACTGACAGAGACACGGGCAGAAGCTCGGTGCTTTCTCGGTCATTTCCTCCCAGGGCTTCTCTGCGCAGGCGCCCCCGCAGCAGCCTCCTGAGCACTGCCAGGTGTGCCCCCCACAAAACAAGTACCAGACATGCTCCCCAATCACACGGCCTATCAAGCTTGGAGGTCTGGGGGGTGGGGTGGGGAGCAGCGGTGGATGCGACTGAGACCACAGGGAGCGGCCCCAGCTCCAAACAGCTCAACTCCCTCCGGGGGAGGAAGGGCCGCTCTGAGCGGGACAAAGGGCCTTCCCGTGTCCAGCTCACCGGGCAGGGGTCCTGCAGTGAATGTCCAGTACGTGTGTGACCTCGAGCTTAGACCAGGCTCCCTCCACGGTCCCAGACCTCAAATGGCTGTGTCCGGGCTGACCCCCAGCCTGGCCCCCGCCTGGCTGCAGTGTCTCCCCGGCCCAGGCCACCTGCAGCCGTCGGCATCCATGTTCTGCAGTGGGACCCGGGCGGGCAGGGGGGGAGCTTGGGGGCGCCCAGTTGACCGAGGATGGTGCCCACTGACCTCTGGGCCTGATGTGGCCACCTGCCCAAGTGCGGCTCTTGGTGCACGCCACCCGTGCTTCCCCAAGCCGAGCGCACGGCGCCCCGCGGACACCCACGCTGACACAGACACCGCTGCTGACTGTTTATTGCACGAGAAACTGGCAATACGGAGGAGGCGAGGGGGCAGGCGTCACGGAACAACCTGGAGACCAACCGAGAGCTAGCAAAGGGCATTCCCGACAGACACCTCAGACAGACACAGATGCACACGCGCACACACGGACACGCACTCCCGAGCCCTGCTCCCACCCCAGGCGGACACTGCAGGCGGTGGGCAGGTGACCACCACGAGCTGGACCTTCCAGGACCCTGGCGTTGGGGGCGGCGCCACAACCCAGCAGGGTGTCGGGCTGCTCTGGCTAGCCTACAGTGGAAGGTGCTCACTGTTCCTCCCACACTCTAGCCACCCAGGGGTGCAGGTGGTCACCTAGATAGTCTCAACACTCCCCCCCTCAGCTCGGTGCAAGCCTAGGCAATTGGGCTAAGGCAGGAGCCCACCAGGAATACCCGGATACACTTTATTCCTAGCAGCGCCAGGCAGGAAAGGGGGCTCCTGTCCCAGGGAGGAGCCAGGATCTATGGCCTCGGGGGTCCCAAGCCCTCCCCTGACCCTCGGGCACGGGGAAGCTGAGAACCTGCGCAGACCAGCGTGAGCTCACAGCACTGCTCGGCTGCTACCCAAGAGGAGCGGCTGTCCAGGCAACGTCCAGGGGCTCCTGGGGGGAGGGAGGGGGGCGACAGCAGCAGGCTGACCACAGAACCAGAAGCAACCCCGGACAGGCAAGTCTAAGGGAGAGAGCCAGGGTCTGCCGGCTCCATCCCTGGACGCCCCCAGAGCAGGGTCACCCTGTCAGTGCCTGCTGGCCCTTGGCGGACGTGGGGCGGCCATCCCCCCTCTTCACTGCAAACAGCTGCTTGTACTGGCGAAGACCCCGGCACAGGGAAGCACCCCCTTCTGGTGGCTGCCTCCTCGGCTAAGAAGCCAGATGCCCTGGCTGGGCGGGATCCTGGCCCGCCCACCCTCAAGGGACGCAGAAGGGGGCATGGCAGAAAGGGGTGGCCCCTGGTCTCTGCGAGGGGACGGCCAAAGGCGACCGGGGGGGCTTTATTCCAGACTGCCACCAGCAGGGAGCATGGCGAGTCGGGCCCTCCTGCCGCCAGCAGGGGACAGCGCGGTCCCACACAAGGCCACCAGGCTCGGGGCTGTGCCAGGGGGGTGGGGGGTGTTACTCCTGTCCAAAGCCCTCCGTCTCCTCGATGGCGTAGAGAAGCTTCTCCTTCAGCTGCTCGTAGCTCTTGTACGGCGGGAGGTCCAGGCGGTTGAAGCTGCGGAGACGAGAGCAACACCGTGGGGCCAGCAGCCCGGGGCTCACACAGCCCGCCCGCCCACCACCTGCTCATCTGCACACCTGTCCACCTGCTCACCTGTTCACCTGCCCACCTGCATACCTGCCACCTGCACACCTGCCCACCTGCCACCTGCTCATCTTCCCCTTGCCCACCTGCTCACCTGTCGCCCTGCTCACCTGCCCACCTGCCTGCAGGCTCAGGGGCAGAGGAAACAGTGCTCCCTGGGCTGAGAGCAATCAATTCCCCAGCAATAAGAAACGATGCAGGCAGAGGCATCCGAACACCTCACAGCCCCTCCAAGGCACCCCAATCCCTGGGGCTTCACAAAGCCGGTTCCTGTCCCCCACACCCTGTCTGTGGGCTCCGGCCACCCCCAGGCCCGCGCATGCTCACCAGGTGTGGCTTCGGGGCAGCCAGGCCTCTTTGCCCACCTTGTCGATGCAGAACTTCTGGGGTCCGTTGCTGCCTGTGTGCCGAGACATGCCAGGGTCAGAGAAACATCCCATTCCCGGGCAGGGGGCAGAGGGACTTTCCTCCAGCTTCCGCCCAAGGGCAAGCTGCCCACCCCGCCCCCATGGGCACCGGGCAGGACGGGCGCCGTACCGATGAGCTCGGCAAAGCCACCGACGGGCAGGCGGCAGGTCCCAGTGACGAACTGCAGCAGCCGGATCCGCTTCTCATTGTCCATCTCCTTCACCACCTGCAACAGCCGCGCCCCCCACCCCCCGACCCCACACATCACTCTGCAGACACGGGGCCCAGTGGAGGAAGCCCCATAAGCCCCCTTAAGAGACTGTGCTGGGGGAATGTGCCTTTGCTCCAAGAGCATCTCTGAGGCCCAAGGTGGCTCTTCCTGTCTGTCCAGCTCGGCTGCCCAAAGCCAGAGGACGGACGCCCTGCTGGCAGGGAGAGAAGCTCTGTAGTGGGGGGGGGGTTGGGGGGGACGGAGAAAAGCCACTGGATGGAACCCCTGGAGGTGTAATCTGATAACTACAGCTCCTGAGCTGCTCCCCACCCCCCACCCTGCCCACAGGCTCCCGGGGACTGTGGCCAGCCCGCCCCCATGTCTCCGGGATCCTCAGGGGCCAGTGGACGCACCTGCCAGAACCACTGCACCTGCTTGCTGCTCTTGGTGTAGTGGCGGTACACCGTGTTGCGCTGCCAGTCACTCATGTCGATCTCCTGCATGCCGCACAGCATCAGCTGCAGGAAACACGGGGCATTGTGGGCGCTCGGGGGCCACTGCCGCGGGGCCGTACCCCAGAGCAGGGCTGCGGGGGTGAAGGGGGGGGGCGGGCAGCTGAGTGCTCACCTCCAGCTCCTTCTCATCGAAGTAGCGCAGCCACTCCAGGGGTGCCACCTCGTTGAAGCCGTCCAGGAAGGCCTTGGTCTGCTCCTCCACTCCCCGGGTGAAGCGCCAGTCGGTCAGCAGCCTGCCCGGGCACCATGCAGGGCAGCTGGCACCATGCCCACACGGCCCCCCACATGGTGCAGGGCAGCCACGGAGGGCCAAGGACCAGGGGCAGGTGACCCCGGGGACTGGTGTGGGAGCCCCGCACGAGCGCTCCGGGGACAAGAACGGGCAAGCCTGGCAGTCCACCCTGAGGCCCCGGGGTAGGCTCACATGATGTACTCCTCCTTGTTCTCCTCCGTCACCCGGATGTTCTCCCCGCCTTCCTTCAGCTCATGGGTGGTCACCTTGCCCAGCGTCTCCATGTCCTGGATGAAATAGAGCTCCAGGCCGCACTCCTCCAGGTTGTTCTCTCTGCGGACGGGTGCGACACGGGGTGGTTAGGCGGGTCCCCCTTCATCCTGCCATCCTGCCCCGCTGCCCGCTCAGGCCAGTGCCCACCCACGGGGGGGAGGCTGGTAGAGGGGAAGGGCAGGGGTCCCAGGGGCAGAGAAGAGGAAGCCCCACACCCCAACTCAAAGGCGGGGCACAGCCTCACTTGATCCAGACGATGGAGTTGTAGAACTCGGGGTCAATGGACTCCAGGTCCTTGAGGGTGGGCCGCTTGTTGAGCATGCGCTTGTAGAAGGGCAGCGTGAAGCCCGTGTCGATGAACTTGCCGTGGTACAGGGCCTGGGGGAGTGTCAGGCACAGAGAGGCTGGGGCCGGCCCCAAGGTTCAGAACCGCAGGGCACCCTTGGGTGGCCTCTCGTGGCCCGGCCGTCCCCAGGGACGGAGCAGAGGGCCACCAGGAGCCTCCGGCAAAGGGCCACTCGTGCTCTCAGGGATGGTGCTCAGCACCCCATTCGGGAGCTGCCCTGCCTCGCAGATGCCCCGAGCCAGCCCGGAGGCGGCCGAGAATAACGCAGACACCAGGGTCAGCCAGCAGTGGCCAGCCGGTGAGTAAGTGTCTGGGTTTTCCTGGGCCGGGCTGTCTCCCTCGGGCAGGAATGTGCCCACTTCCTGAGCCTCCCGCCGGTGGGAGGGAACAGAGCCTGTCCCCAAGAGGGCAGCGGGCAGCGCCGGCGGGAAGGGAAGTGGGGGGAAGGGCGGGCCCCTGAAGCCTCCCAAGCCCGCCTTCTACATACTCCCAAGACGGGGCCCACGGAACAGCCCCTCTGTGCTCCCACCGTGCTCCTCTCTCTACACAAACGTGGGTGCCACAATGGCCCTTCAGCCTGCTCGAGGGTCCTATGGGGGCTGCATGTGCCCACACCCAGCCCCTTCCAGAAGGGCCTCACTCGGGCCTGGACAGCTGGGGGTGGGGGCCCCCCCCGCAGAGTCAGCGGCATGGGGCAGGTCAAGGGGCACCCAGGGTGAGAGCACGGAGGGATGGCCAGGGTGGCTGCTACCTGGTCACTCCCCCACCGGTCAGCCAGAAACCCGCTCGATGCCTCTGGGGGGACACACAGGGAGGGTGGCTGGTCTCTTGAAATTTTCTCACTTGGGGCATTTTGTGCCAGGGTGGGGAGAGGGGTGTCACCCTTACCATGGCAATGAACCTGCCGATGAAGCGGAAGTAGGTGAGGTGGTCGGGGTTGATGGAGGAGGCAGGGTTGATCTGCAGGCAGTAGTTGTTCTTCCCGGCGTACTCGAACAGACAGTACATGGGGTTGAGCACCTCGTGGGACAGGAGGAAGAACCACTCCCTGGGGGGAAGAGGCCAGCTCGTGGGCTCCCGCCCGACCCCATAGACGGTGCCTCCCAGGGCGTTGCCCCAGGCTCCAGAGCCCGGTGCAGGGTGGGGGCCACACACCTCAGCACACGGCAAGGGCTTCGCTGCGAGTAGCCAGAAAGTGGGGGTGGGGTGGGGTGGGGGGAGTCTGGTTTTCTGGAGAGACAGCCCTGAGCCCCCTCCGCCTTGCAGCCGGCCCCAACTCCCACCACCGCCGCTCACGTGCCCCCCCTGCTGCCCCCTTCCTCGTGCTCCTCTGGCACAGCCCCTGCCTGGGTACGAGCTTCAAGCCAGGACTCGGGGCGCTTTGGGGCTTGAGCCAAAAGAGCAAGGGGCAAGCGCCGAGGGGCGTCCGTGGCTGGCAGCCGAGGAGTCGGTGGACGCAGAGGGTGCCCCGGTATCCTGTCCGTGGTTCTACCCTGTGGTAGAACAGCATGACGTAACCTACCATAGGGTAAAACCACTGGCAGGACACAGAGAGAGACACACAGGCAGGTCGCACCGGAAGCCACCGAGCAGAGGCTGCAGGAGGTCACCAGGGGAGGCAGAGCGACCCACCACAGTCAGCACCCGAGCAGGAGGCCGGAGGAAGCACGTGAGCCCGCCACCAAGCGAGGGGGCAGGCGGTGCCCCGCGGGCCAGGGCGTCCCCTTCCCTCTGCCGCGGCCATGGGCAGGGTGTTGTCAGTGGTCAGGGAGCCCGCTGGGGTGTAGGGGGGACAGGGGCGAGGGGGAGACCACACGCCAGGCCCCGGGCTGAGCGCCGGGGTCGAGGCCACTGGCTGTGACGTAGCTCACATGTGTCAGGTGCCCGACACCCCGCGGAACCTGACTCAAGGCTTGAGTGCAGATGCCCCCGGGCACCAACCCTGAGCGCCCCGGCACAGGGACCAGGCGAGGCGGTGGCTGGAAAGAAGCTCCTGGGCTCCCGGAGACCCAATCACTGGAGGGAGGGAGGGGCCGGGCCCTGCTCCCGTGCCCTCTCCTGGGGGCCTGGCCAGGAGGGGTCCTGGAGAGGGGGAGGGGTGCCCAGCTCACCTGGCGATGCCCCCGTAGTCCAGGCCCTCCTCGCCACGCATGATAATGTAGAGCCGGCGACGCAGGTCATAGGGCTTCATGTTCATGATCTGGGGAGACAGAGCATCAGGCTAGCCTGCTGCACCCTGACATCCCTCCCCCCACCGGGCCGTGGGGTGAGGTGGGCAGAGGCAGGAGGGGGGCTCTGGGACTGGGCAATGGGGTGGGGGGGGTTAGTGGCTCAGCCGACAGAGGCAGGAGGCAGACTCTGTGTCCACCCTGGGCTCGCTCGCCGTGGCCACTCTCTAACCTGCTGGAAAGAATCCTCAAAGAGTGTCTGTCTGGACACGCTGACCTTCACGTGGCTGGGGAGGGCATTGGACTGCGGAGAACAGGAGACACCAGCTGAGACCGGGCCAGGCAGGAGCTGGCCCGTCCACTCTCCCTCTGACTGAGGCTCCCCGAGACCCAAGCCCTCCCTGAAGCTGGGTCGGGCTAAGACAGGTGCCAAGGAGGGCCCAGCCCCGCACTCACGTGGCAGAGGAAACGGAACTGGTGGTACTTCCACCGGAAGCTGCGGTCGTAGGCGCCAGGAGACCCTTGCTTCGCCCTGGGAAAAGCAAAGAGGGGCTGGATGTTGCAATTTCTCAAGACTTAGCAACCTGCTGGCCAGGTAGATGCCGTGTCAGTCTGCAGGGGAGAAAGGCCTCCAGGAAACGCACTGGGGGCCACGACGCTTCGCAGCTCTTGGGCGCTGCCCGGAGCTCAGCCCAGCGGCCACAAGGGGGCGGGAGCAGCCTTACCCGGACTCGAAGCCGGGCCGCGGGTCCTTGAAGGTGGTGGTGCGGGTGTTGTGGTCCACGAAGTAGCGCACCCCCTCGCTGGTGTACTTCATCTCCCAGCCCGGGGGCAGCGCGGGCTCCTGGATCATCCTGGACACAAAGCAAGGCTGGGGCTGGGCTGGCCTTACCGCCTGGGGAGCACTTAGGACGGGGCCTCACGGGGCTGTTTCCTCTGCCCCCCCCACCCTGGGCCCTGCAGCTACACACACACACACACACACACACACACACACCCTATCCCCACCCTGCCACGTCCTGGGGTCGCTGACCACCTCCGACCCCACCATCCTGAGGCCCCGTGAGTGGCTTCGGCGTGTCCCTCCACTTCCTTATGTTGTGTTCTTGGCTGCAGCAGCCACGCCTGCACCCGGCAGCTCAGTCGGGGGTCCCGGCAAGCTGGCCCCACGGTGTCCGAGCACTGGGGCGGGGATGGGGGTGGGGGGAGCGCCTGCTGGCCCACATGCTCACCCCTGGGTGCGGGGGTCCTCCCACTGGGTCGTGCGTGTGTTGTGGTTCACGTAATACACCCGTCCATTGTCCTGTCTCTTCTCTGCGGGGGAAGAGACGGCCACTGTGAAACCTCCTGAGCCATGTCCACTGCCCTCTCCCCGGCCTGTGCGGGGAGGTGCACCCTCACCCCACCCCGCCCCACCCCCAGGAGAGCCAGGACAGCTGTGGCATGGACGGGGTGGGGGGGCACTCTGGCTGCCGGGCCGGGGAGGGAGGGACAGGACGTTCGCAGCAACACTGCACCAGGCTCTGGCCAGAGGGGCTGGGCGCTTGGAGGTGGTGGGCGGGGGGGGAGGGGCAGGGGAGGGGGCGGCGTGGCAGCACAGAGGGTGCAGCCCCCACACACACTGGAACTGGAGGCCTAATTACAACCAGCTGTCCGCACAGGGGGGTCCGTCCTCCACCTTCTCTTTCCCCCCCGCCCACAGCAGAGCTGGGGTGTAGACTCGCGCCAGCCCCCTGCACATGCCCCACGTGCAGATCACTCAGGGACGGGGCAGACAAAGGCCTTCTGGGTCCACACCTCAGCCTGCGCTCAAGATGGGCCTTGGGCAGCCCCCAACGCTGCTCGCTCTGGCCCGTTCCCGTCCCTGAGCGAGTGGGGGAGGGGACGTGGGGGGGGCGACTGGGGAAGGAGGTGGGGAGCAGAAGCCCTAGAGGCCACGTCTGAGCTGCTGGGCAGCCCTGGTTCTCGCTGGTGGTCTGGGGCATTGGGGACGGTGCCTCCGCTCAGGTGGACAGGAGGGGTCCCAGGCAGCCCCGCCTCTGCCCTGAAGACCGGACGCCCATGGGGGTGCAGAGCATGGGCGTCCCAGCATGGGCCTGGGCCTGGTCCCCCTCGGCCATCCCTGGCAGCCTCCACCCCAGGGTAGAGGCAAAGGGAGGGGGCTTGGCCAGCGCCCCGCGGGGGTGGGGGGGGGGGGCACAGCGGCTCCCTGCCCAGACGCCTCCACTTTGAGCTGGATCCTTGGCGGCTGCTCTGCCAGAGGCCACAACCAGAGCTGACCGCAGGCCGCGGGCCATCCCGCGGGTCGGGGCCTATGCCCCGGGCTCTGGCAGGGAGAGCTATGGGGGGGGGGGGGGGCTGGGTCTCTGCAGCAACAGTCGAGCTGTCCACAACCCTGGAGTCATGGGGGACTGGGAAAGTTCTCGAACGAGCAGAGACTGACCCCATCTGAGGCAGAAGCGGGCCCGGGGCTGGGGCCGGGGCTGCTGCAGGTGCAGGGACCCACGCTGGGGAGCCAGGCAGGGCTGAGCACTGTCTCCTGGGCTCGCCGTTCTCTGGGTCCCCATTGAGCCTCACCCCCACCCCAGGGGGAGAAGGGAAAGCCCTCAGCACTCTGACCGGGAAGGTGCAGAACAATCGGTCTGTCTGAAGCCTGTGGCAGCTTGGTGTGTTTCTAACAACTGTCCCTGACCCTCACCCTCTGACCCTCACACTCTGGCCCTCACCCTCCAACCCTCACCCTCCTTCCTCACCCTCCGACCCTCACCCTCCGGCCCTCACCCTCCGGCCCTCACCCTCTAACTCTGATCAAACAGGCACAGGAGCCAGTCACACAGGCTGCAGGGGCAGAAGTGACCCAGCCACCAGCTGGAGTCACAGCAACACCAGCCACCATGCGCCATTCCAGATTGTCATTCATGGGGCACCGGTGTTCCCTGCTAGAGGGGGCCCTGAGTGGCTCCTTGTGCTTGTCCTGTAGGTTACCTGCGCTTCCCTCGGCTCAGGGGCCAGGTGCGGCGTCAGGGACTGCTCCCCAGTGAGAAAGCCCCACTGACACCCCCAAGGCACCCCACCCCAAGGCAACACTCTCTCAGCGCGTGGGAATGCAGCAGCAATGCCCTAAGTGACCCCGCACCTTTGTAAATGACACCAGGGAGCTGCTGTGACTGCAAAAGGTCCAACTCAGAGGCTGCCCTTTCTGGGGATCACCCTCTCCCCGAAAAAAACATCCTCTGCTTGCACCCTCAAACCAGCACTCGCAGTCTGTAGCCAGCCCTCCCGACTGGCCAGTGCGGCCCACACCAGGCCCCGTCCCACATGCTGTCCCCATGATTCCTCCTGGAGTCGCGCCCTCGGCCAGGGGCATGCCACCCCAGGAAGGCACTCGGGTTCCAAGGACAAGGGGGTCCTGCTGGGGTCCCACGAAGGAAGCATGTCCAGTCTCCCTGCCCCATGCCCTGATCTATGTCCCTCTGGCCACACCGGCCGCCCCGCAGCCCCTCATCAGAGCCAGGCCGCGGTGGTCCAGCTTGGCTGCAGAGCGGGTCCAGGCTGGCTCCCTCCGGGCATGCTGCGTCAGACCTGCAACAAAGGCGTCTGCACATCCCATCAGGACGGGGCACCTTGACAGTTGGTGGCACCCAGACGCCAAGGGTCTTCTTCTGTCCGGTTTCCCTTGCCTGCCTTTGGGTCCGGCGCACCCCCAAGGGCAGTTATTCGACCCCCCTGTGCTGCCCCATGGCCCACAGGGGCTCCAGCGGGACAGCCCCACACAGCAGGCTGGAGAGGAGCTACACAGGAAACTGAGGCACCACGCGGAGGCGGGTGGGGAACAGAGCGCACACGCGGTACTTACCCCAGCCAGGAGGGAGGGGGCCCAGCGGGTCCTGGTCGACGGACACATTGGAAGACTAGACCGAGAGACAGCAGAACACAGAGGTTAGCGGGGCACCGGCACCGTCCCGGTGGGGAGCGACGGCCAAGGAGAGGGGCGAGCGGTCCTCGCGCGCCTGGACACGGGACGCGGCGGGGCCCAGGGGTGGCCGCTCCTCTTCTTTTAAAAAAGAGGCAGACGGTGGCAGGGAGCCCCGTGGGCTCGGGGAGGGTGGCGCCCCAGGAAGACAGCCGCCTCTGCTCGGCTCCCGCTCCCGCGGCCAAGGCGACTGAAATCACCCACCACCTCCAACTTTCTCCAAGAACCACACACGGGAGGGGAAAAAATATCGCAGGCCTTTCCAATGAAATCATTCCCACAAGCCCTGCCCACGCCCAGTGCTTCCTGGCTGGGGGCTGGGCCCTCCCCGGGCTGGGGGTGCGGGAAGGGGCGCGGGAGCCCAGACTGAGGGCACATTCACAGCCGGGGGCCCGCGCCTCCCCCAGGAATGTTCGGCTTCCCCTCACAAAGCACCTTTCTTCTCCGCGCCCGACCTGAAGTTGCGCAGTGTCCGCGGGTGCCTGTCTGAGGAGGTGGGGCCGGGCCGAGGTGGCAGCACAGGGGAGGGGGGCCGTCTCCAGGACTCTGGGGTCACTGTTTACCTTAAGACCCCCTCCCTCCACCCCCACTCCCCGCGTCATCGTAGCAAGGAGTCTCAGGGGAAGGGCCGCCGTGGCCGAGAGCTGCCGTATCCTGCAGGGAAGGGGGCGCTGTCACAAGGGTTCAGAGTTAAATAAAACAAGTATTGTTCAGCGCTGCCTGGCCGGCCGGCCGTTTTTTTGGTGTGTGAGTGTGTGTGTGTGTGCGCGTGCGCACGTGTATGTGTGCGTGTGTGCGCGTGTGTGCACGTATGTGTGCACACATGTGTCTGTGTGAGTGTGTGTGTGTGTGTGTGTGTGTGTGTGTGTTTTCCTCAAGCATTTTCATTTCACTTACTGAGACGGAATCACTACCTAGGGGCGCTGAGTTCTCCTTGCAGACTCTGGGCTGCCTGGCTGACCGGCCGTTTTTTTGGGGGGGGTATGTGTGTGTGTGTGCACGCGCGTGTGTGAGCATGTGTGTGAGCATGTGTGTCTTTGTGAGTGTGTGTGTGTGCGCGCAAGTGTGTTTGCACGTGTGTATTGTGTGTGCATGTGAATGTGTGTGTGTGTGTGTGTGTGTGTGCGCGCACGCACGTGTGCATATGTATGTTTTCCTCAAGCATTTTCATTTCACTTACTGAGATGGAATCACTACCTAGGGGCACTGAGTTCTCCATGCAGGCTCGGGGCTGCCTGGCTGGCCCATTCCAGGGGCCACGGAGCCACACACGGGCAGGAGGATGAATGAGGCTCAGTCTGGGCTTAAGCAAACACCGGTGGCCGTCTGCTGCCAGGAGCCCCCCTTTCCACAGCCCTCCTTCCACCCCCGGCCTGCGGGACACAGACGCTTTCTTTCCAAGGTGGCAGCACAAGGAATCCTTCCAAAGCAAATTCCAACAAAGACGTTTAAGTCTTGAAACCGTGGGTTCAGCAGAGGGGGCCTCCCCCACCCCACCCGCCTGCTGAGCTACACCGGGGTGTGGAGGCTCCGCTCGGGGTGACCCACCTCGAGGACATGCTCAGAACCTCCACTGTGATTCACATGGAGGGGGTGCAGGGAGAGGGATCCCCCAGTCCGTCCTGGTGGGATGGGGAAGCACATAAAACCCGAGTTCCTCCGACATCTGAGGCTGGGACGGAAGGAAGAACAGGGGCCGGAGTATTCGCGACCCAACGCAGAGAAGGGCTGTGAGAAACACGCGCACGGCAGGCAGGGATGGTGGACTGCAAGGGCGCTGGGGCCCTGCAAGAGAAGATTCCAGAAGCTGCTGGAAGCCGTGGAAGGAAGTGGCATTTGGTACAAAAAGGCCTCAGGCCTTCTTCCACAGGAGTGCCTGGCCCAGGAAGCACCTGGAAGCTCTCAGTGGGAAACCAGCTCCCAAGTGGTCCCTGCGGGGCTGGGGCCGAGGCCAGGGCCCCTCTGTCCCCTCTTCTCCTTAACTCTACAACTCTGTAGACCAGCTTCCATGACCTGCACTGCACTAGAAACAAGTATTCTTCAGCCCTGCTCTTGCAACCTCGCCTTCGCCCACGTGCCCCAAGGCACGGAGAGAAGCCAGAGGAAGGGAGCGAGGGGGAGACAGACCCACGACCACTGGGGAAGGACCGCCCCGTTCACAGGGACAGCAGAGGAGTGCGTGGCCACCCGAGACATTCCTTCCTGGTTGGCACGGCCTGAGCAACCCGACGAGGAAATGAGGGGATGCCAAGAAGAAACAAGAAATGAAAGCCCCGAGTCCGGGTGGGAAAACCCCCAAGTCCCCCCCTCACCATCCCCCGTGTGCCAGGAACCCACAGGCAGCCCCCTCTCCTCCCGCCACAGTCCGTGAGACCGGCGGGAACTGGGGAGAGCCCCGGGCCGGTTCACTCACTTAGCACACGGGCCGGGAGATGTGGGGTGCCGGCCCCGAGCCAGGGAGCTCACATGAGCGAGGTCACGTCTCCTGGGGATGCTGAGTGGCCTCCCAGGAATATTTTAAGACACAAAGTCAGAAATAAAGAATGTCTAGCAAATGACGCCAAGAGCACCCGGGACTAGGGAGGGCCCCGGGTGGTGCCCCCAGGGAAGGCGGCTCCCCTCCCACAGGGGTCCCACTCAGGTTCTCCCGAGGCTGCCCCACTTCCACGCCACGTGAGCCGCAGAGCTCATCCCGCCAATCTCCTAGCCATGGTCATGGGCAGTTGGACGGACAGGAAAAAGGATCACAGGAACTGAGGCAGGCCTGGCCGAAAGGGGCATCGCGGGGATGCCCAGCTGCCCACGGACAGGCGTCCTCCAAGCACCAGAGGACAGAAGGCTGCTGCCTGGGCAAACATCTGGTGGGCACGGAGCTGCCAGGCAAGCACGAACGGGGGGTGGGGGTAGTGATGGGCAGGAGGAAGGGGAGACAGGCCACAATAGAAGGGAACAAGGACAGAGAGAGTGAAAAGGGCGTGTGCTGAGCAGACGGCAGGAGCGGGCTCATGCACCCCAAGGTCCCCTTGATTTCCGTTTTGATCCGCATTTCAGGTTCTCTGTAGGGCAGGGAGGTAGGACCAAGTCTCCGACTTAGACGAGGAAGAGGTGGAGGAGGTAGAGGAGGAGGAGAAGAAGGAGAAGGGGGGGGGGAGGAGGAGGAGGAGGAGGAGGAGGAGGAGGAGGAGGAGGAGGAGGAGGAAGGAAAGCTGCTGGTATAGCGTCAGCTCTTCGGTCAAACCTTGGGCCAAGGCCAAACCCCAGAATAAGCCTCTGTGAGCGACTCTTTCTGTAACCAGGACATGGCACCACAGCAAACAGGAGAGGCGGCCCAAAGCCAGAGGGTGGAGAAGCAACGGCCAGACAGACGTCGGGAGCCGAGTCCAAGAGGTCCCTGCTTCGCCGCTGCACAGGGGACCCCTCCACTGCGGGCCCCCCCAGCCCCAACGCCCGGCCAAGACGAGAGAAACTCGGCAGAACGCTCAGACAGCCGCACCCCGGCCGCTCCCTTTCTGCCCGTGGAGCCTCTGCCGGCCCCAGGACAACGCAGCCCCAAGGAGAAAGGGGGGCAGGCCCCACAGCAGCGGGGAGCGCCAGCCTCTGCCCTTCGGCCCATCTGGCACGCCGAGCACTGCCATCAGCCCACGGAACCACAGAACCACGCAGTGTGGGGGAGGAAGGAGAGATTCCCCTCAAGGACTTCTTCAATGAAATTGAGAAGTTGGTGGGTAAATGGAAAGACCAAACTGGGTGAGACTCCAAAAACATGTCCATGTCTCTCTCCTCAGAGGATGAAGATACTCCGGCCCATGCCGGTCAGGGGGACAACAGCAGGTGGAGCCCCGGAGGCCCCGCACCAGAAAGACAATCCGGAAAGGCAGAGATGGATCCGACTAATCCAGGTCTGAGACACACCACACTGGGCCACGGGGCGAGGCTCCCAGCTCCACGTGAGGTACCACCATGGGCCCACCAGGCCGTGCCAGGGACAGGCGTTAAACTGATTAGAACCTGGGAACCCCACAGTAGGGAACCCCAGTCCTCAACAGCCTTCTCCTGGTACAACAGCAGACACCCCAAACACCTGCCCTCCCCAGAAGAAGAAAAGCCATGCCACCAGGGGACATGCCACCAAGGCTGACAGTAGCAGTGTCACTCTGGCTCTCCTTCATGGGGATTCAGGGCTGCCTGGACATGTAATTAGGGCAGTGTCAAATGCAGGCAAGGACGGTGGGGCCAGAGTTCCTCTTCAGTGGGAGTGCCCGGGATCCAGCCAAGGTCAGATGTCAGAGGCCAGCTCAGATGGCACAGTGTCCCACACGCCATAATCCTCTGTGGGGCCACTGCAGACCATCACCACTACCACCCACATCCACTGCTGTGCATGGTGCTCAGAGAAAATGCCGTCAGGGTTCCGATCTGGGGACCCTCCTCTCCTGTCCAAAGAGGCTGTGAGGATGCGTCCCCCCCCCCCCCACCCACTGCCCACCCTCAACCAACTCCACCGCCACCACCAGGCCCGGCCACTCTGGGAGACTCATAGGGCAGAGACAGGAAGGAGAACTGGGGCTTCCCAAAGGGCCACAGGAGATGGGAGAACATTCGCCCACAGTGCCCTGAGTTCTGGACTAGAAAGTGTAAGTGACACAGACAAAAATGATGATGACAAGTGCGGAACGAAAGCCCCCCCCCCACGCCCGCTTCCTTCAACCTGCCACTGCACTGTGACAGTGACCTCCAGAAATAGCCCAGAGGGACCAGCAGACAAGACTGCAGGGAAAGAGGAGGAATCAGCAGCAGGTGGGCTCAGAGGCTGCCCTGACCACCCCATGGGGAAGGGCTGGACCTTCTCTACTATCTCAGGCTTTGTAGGTGTGACCCAACCTCAGCCATGCTTGTCCAGCCCTGAGGGGGCCACATGAAAGCAGCCACAGTCGGAAAACCACTGGACGTGGCACACGCCCATAAAACTTTTTTTACAGGACGGGCAGGGGCTGGCTGGATTCCAGGACCCCAGCACACCAAGCCTTGATCGAGAGCATTAGTTCTCAAAGCGGGGTGGGGGAGGGATGTCACACAGCCCCTGAAGGCCCCAGGGATATTCCAAGGGGATGATGGCATAAGTAGGGGGTCACAGCAGGAAACCGGGGTGGGAGGACAACTAGTTGGATGGGGTGCAGGCAGGGGGGCCTCAGGAATCAAGGTCTAAGAGAAGATGATTCTAGATGAAACTTCAAGGTTCTGCTCTTACAAATCTCTGAGAAAAACTGGCGGCAACAATGGAAGGAGGATTGGAGGGTGGTGGGGGCTACTCTGCTTTGGAGATCTGGGGTGCAGAGGGGCGACCCCTGGCCTCCAGGGTTCCTGACCGACCGACTCGGCTGGAGGGGCCAGGAGAGAAGGGCATGGCAGGCAGGGCGATGGCGCGTCCCCGCCCAGACGCAGAGGCCGGACCCGGAGTGGCTCGGGCAGGAGCTGTGGAATGTCACAGCGGCGGGAGGAATTGCCGGGTCACTGCGGGCCTCTCACCTGGTAGAGGAATCTTTGGCTGAAGTGCTGCATGGCACCCTGCAGCTGGCTCCGCTGCGACTGCCACTGCTCGTAGTTGCGCACGTACTCGGCCGTGGGCCGCTGCCAGGTGGTGGTCCGCGTGTTGTGATCCACATAGTAGAAGCGGCCGCGGGGGTCAGTGCGCTTCTCCCAGCTGCAAGGAGGAGGCCCAGAGTGAGACCCGGGGGCCGCTCACCGGTGTCCGCTTGCCAATGCCAGCTCCTCTCGGGGCCTGGCTGCCCCCAGGAACCATCACGGAAGCTCCCGGGGACTCGGGGATGCTAGCGGGCACCTGCGGTACCCACGGCCACAAGCAACCCCATCCTCAACCTCAGCTCTTGGTTCCCACATTGGGGGGGGGGCGGGGGGCTGCAGGGGGCAGAACCGGGAGTGGGTCACGTGGCCAACAGCGAATCAATCGGGATGGAACTCGGGGCTTTCGCTAGGGATTCTGGGAAACGTCAGCATCCTCTCCTGGGGGCTGCTACCTTGAACTGGAGACCCTATGCGGTTGGGTGGTAAGGCAGGAACACTGGGGAGAATGGAGGAGACGGGGAAGGCAGCCCTTTAGGCGTACTGACCCAACCACTGGAGCGGGTTTCGTCTGAAACCAGGATAACGACACCGAGAATTTTCAGTACATCAGCTGGTTCAAGTCATGCCTGGGTATTTGCTTTGTAGAATTTCCTGTTTTCTAGATATTGGCTGATGATGGCTTTATACTGTAGTCTAACACTCTAGAAATCAACTCTAGAATAATCTCTCTAGCCTTGTCCTTTCTGTAAACTAGTAGCTATAAGAAGAGGTTTGATTGAACCGGTCCTTGTTTGAACGGATCTGAAACCTAGTTTGTGTGGTTGGTAACTGGGCATTTCATGACAGGAAGTGTTGGTGAAAAGGAGCTGCATGGCCCTGTGAAGAAGAGTCGGTCTCAACAGTCGGAGATGTCACTCTCTCTAGTGAGGACGCAATCCTTCCATTGTGGGTTCTAATCTACGCCTAGGCAAGGCTGCACTCCAGCAGATGGGGAGGTTCTCAGCTGTGTGTGCTAGGTGTGACTGGATTTCTACACACACACACATACACACACACACACACACACACACACACACACGCGCACAGAGAAGTCATCAAAAAAAGAAGTTATCAAAAAACAGGAAAATCTGTGGGACAAAGGAAGTAATTATATTTTGAAGAGTTGTGCAGTACATGAATTTATGTACTTGTCAAAACTCAGCATACTATTCCTCCGAGATTGGTACATCTTAATGTGAGTAAATTAACGTCATTTTTTAAAAAAATGATTTATAGAATTCAAACCTCTTTTTATAACTACCAGTTCACAGAAAGGACAAGGCTAGAGAGATAATTCTAGACTTGATTTCTAGAGTGTTAGACTACCGTATGAAGCCATTATCTGCCAACATCTAGAAAATAAGAAATTCTACAAAGCAAATACCCAGGCATGACTTGAAAAAACTACAACATAGCGGGCAAGGCAAGTCACAGATTCAGAGGCTTGGGAGACGCGTCAGCTTAAAGCAACCTGTTGACCTTGAGTTTGGGTTGGACTGAACAAATCAAACAAATCATTGAACAACAAATCAAATGTAAAAACACTCAGATGACAAATGGGAGAAGTGGAACATGGACTAGGTATGATAAAAAAAAAATAAGGCAATACCTTTCATCTTGTGGGCTGGGATAATTGTGCACCTTGGTTTTAAAAAATAAAGCAATAGGTTCAGACCTTTCTGTGCCGACACTCTGCTTTGACTCTGTTTCTGATGATCCATCCTTGCCTTACTCTTCCTTGCCAAACAACTCTTTAGACCTCGGACCTGTTGCTCTCACCTGTGAATGACCTATTTCCAACTTGAATCCTCCTGCCGCATTTTTAAAATGTGTGCTCCCCTTTACTAATAGATTCCTAATAGATACCTAAAAGCTCTTACTGGCATTTAGTCTTTGTTTTGGGGGCCACTCCCTGGGGTGCTCAAGGATTACTCCTAGCAAGGCTCCAGGGACTATGTGCCGGGAGTGAGCCCGGGTTGGCTGTATGTAAGGCAAATGCCTTAATCCCACCCGCTCTCTCCAGACCCCTTGTGCTTTTTCCTTATTTTCCACAGAGCTCATGTAACGGTCTCCAATTCTTGCACAGATGCCTTATCTCCTCCCAAACTTTTTTTGGGGGTCAAAGAGGTGAAGCTAGAGGAGGATCTGGGCCACACCCCCAAGGGGCTCAGGGATCCCTTCTGGTACTCCATAACTAAATGAGGTTCCAGGGAGCAAGCTGTGGTCAGTGTCTGAGGCAAGTGTGCCCTGCGCACTGTGCTATCTCTCCAGCTCTCTTCCAAACCACTGAGGACATGAATCGCCATTCTGTGTCCCTTGTAGACGCTTTTGCCAGCTCCGTACTCTGTTGTCCCCAAAGCCCATTTTTTCCCACCTGTTGGTTCATACTGAAAAGCCAGTCATGGACAGGCTGGCTGGAAGCTGTGACTGGCTGTCACCAGCTGCTCCAGGGAAAGGTCCCTAAATATCGCCATCTGTAGCCCCTTCCCTGATACTGGTCCCTTTTCTCAGCAAAATAAATCCTCCCATCTTGACATGGGGATTGCACCCCCAACCCCTTTCCCAAGTTCACCCCTGCCTTAAGTTAGCAGCCATCCTACCCCCCACCCCAGGGTGCCAGGGCCTATTAGTCCCATGGCTGCGTGTATACACGTGTTTCTGTGTGTGCTCACATGGTGGCCGACGGATGGAAGCCACAGTGACAATCCGAGACTAACCCGTCCTGCACATTTTCTCCTTCTTCCCTTCCTCCCCCACCCCTTTCTCTCCCCCTCCACCCCTCCCCTGCCTTTTTTGTGGCTGCTGTTACAAAGTCCAGGGGTCACACACTTGGCTGGGGTGTTCCTGGAGTCACACACATGGCTGCAGTGGCCAGAGGTGATACTTGCTGTGGCCCGGAGGTCACAGTAGCCAGGGGTTGAACTCACAGACACACGTACCCAGTGGGCGCTCCTCCATCGTGCCCAGTGGGCACTCCTCCAACCGATCTGCAGGCTTTGGGGCCACACTCGGCAGCACCTGGGCTACTCTCAGGGCTGTGTTAGAGAACAAAACTCAGCCTTCTGCGAGCAGATCACGCGTGCTGGCCCTGTGAGCCATCTTCCCAGGCCCTGAATGAAAGCTTTCAGTCTCAAAACACACAGAGACAGGAAAAGGTCCCTAAATATCACCATATGAAGCGTGCGCACATGTGTGCACATGCACACACACACACACACACACACACACACACACACACCCCTCCGTGTGTCTCTGATCGCTGCGGTTTTCTAAGCTCCAAGGCGCTGCCACACATCCTCAGAAACCGCATCTCGTCCATCCCTCCATCCCTGAGGCCTACACTTGCTTCTTATCCTTTGCTGCCATTTGAGAGGATTGGGGGATGGGGAGCGGGAATGGAAATCCACACCTGGAGAACTACACGCGTACCTGGGCCTCCTCTGCACTGCCGGGATTCCTGTCTGGGGCAGCACCTCTTCCCCCCTCAGAGAAGATGCTCCTTGCTCAGTCCCTCAGCACAGCCTTCCCAGGCCATCAGGGGGAGCCCCCGACTCCAGCAGGTGGGGGGTCCTCCTCCTCCTCCTCCTCCTCCTCCTCAAGGGTAGTCCGTGATTATTTGCACCATGCTCCCAGGCCGGTGCTCACAGCTCCAGGAGCAAAGGAGCCTCGTTTGAGGGCTCCGAAGGGGGTTGGCGGGAGGAAGCGAGTCCACAGGCTCCACCGCTTCCAGGCTGCGGCCCTCCAGTGGCTAACTATCTCCCCCCAAACATGCCCTAAACCCTCAGATGAAACCATCAGTCCTTCTGTCCTTCTCGGTTCCCTACAAATGCCCTAAAAGCAAGAGCCGGGGCGCAGAGGTCTGAGCTGCAAAGGCAGGAGGAAGTCCCAGCATTCGGGGAAGACGCCAATGATCCCGAGAGGGAGCTGGACTACCCACATGCCCCCTCAGACCCTCCACCATAGCCAGAGACACTGTCCCTGAACGTCTCTCTCATGTGCTGGCCAGGCCTAGGCCTCCACACTCACAGCCAGAAAGGTGAGGGCCACTCCAGCCAGGGGACACAGCTGCCCTGAACTCCCACCTGGGAAACAGGGTGCACACGGAAAAAACGGCTAGGGGATGGAACCCCAGCTTGGACCTGGGTATCACATGGTTCCCGGGCTCTGCCAGACATAAACCCTGGGCACCAGTCACCACTGGTGTGTCCCCACACTCTAAAAAGGAGTCACTGATACCCATCACTGGAGAGACAGTCAGAGAAACCTATGGGCTCTGTGGGGGACCCATATCGGGGATGGAACCCAGGATCTCACACACTGGGGCCAGGGGCTCTGCCGCAAGCCCCATCCCCAGGCCCAGAGCTCGGAAACAGACAGACAGCTCGGTAATGGGAAGGAAACAGCATGAACATGCCAGTGCTTCTATTTTCAACCAGAGAACAACTGTTCAGAAACATACAATGAAAAGTGAGCAGAGTGACGTGCCGTCTGGGATTTGCTCAGAGTGACAGGGAGGGACGGGAAAGGATTTCAGTCAGGAGCTGTCATTTTCCCCATTTTCCCTATGAACAAGGATCTGTGTGCTGGGGGGCATGGAGACTTCGTACCTGTCAGGCGCTGGATTCGAGCCCTTGATTGCAAAACTGAAAACAAACACAAACCCCCCAAGTGCGCGATGGGGAGGAGGGCCGAGGGTGGAGGGGGAGGTTGTGGTCTCTGTCACATCCTCGTGGCAGGGAGGGGCCACGCTCCAGGGAAACATTCAGCACAAAAACAGCCCTTGGAACAGGAGAAACAGGATCATTCTTCAAGTTCAGGGTGGCTGAGGAAAATTCTATTGGGCACGTTTTTTTTTTCCTGTTTTTTTTTTTGTTGTTGTTGTTGTTGGTTGTTTGGTTGGTATTTGGGCCATGCCCGACAGTGCTTGGGGCTTACTCCTGGCTCTGTGCTCAAGGCTCACTCCTAGCAGAACTTGGGGGACCCAACAGGATGCCAGGGGCTGAACCCAGGTTGGCCATGAGCAAGGCAAGTGCCCTCCCCGCTGGACCATTGCTTTGGCCCCTGTGGCACACTGTTACTGTCCCTGTCCTCCCGTTGTTCATCGATTTGCTCAAGCAGGCCCAGTAACGTCTCCATTGTAAGACCTGTTGTTACTGTGTTTGGCATATCGAATACATCACGGGGAGCTTGCCAGGCTTTGCCATGCGGGCGAGATATTCTCGGTACCTTGCTGGGCTCTCCGAGAGGGACAGAGGAATTGAACCCGGGTCAGTCAGATCGGCCACATGCAAGGCAAACGCCCTACCGCTGTGCTATCATACTCTGCGTTGTGTGTCTGTGGCACACATTTCTGAAAAAGTTCCATAATATGAAAATCTCTACCACTGCCATGATCAAATTGGTGGTTTTCTAAGAAGACAGCATCTCACCAATGACAGGTCAATGGTGAGAGCTGGCAGGAGCCAAGGCTAAGCCTGGGCTGATGCGGCGGGCCAGGGGCCGAGCAGGACTGTGCTGGCACCTGCCTACGGGGTTCCTGTGCTTGTAACCCGCCATCCATCAGCGCTGGGGGGGGGGGGGGAGGTGAAGGGTTCCCCTCACAAAGGCTGCTCCTCTGGGAGTCATTTCCAAGAGCAGAAAAATGCCCGAGCGTGGGAGACACTGCAATGTGAAAGGATCTGCCATCCCTGGCAGACAGAAGCCAGAGGCCCTTCTCTGAATGTGAGTGATCAGTGAACACTCTTGCTCTCCCTGCCTCCCTGTGCCCCCACACACTCCCACCCTAAGTCCTAAGGAGGCCCAGAAGCCAGCACAGGCCTGGGGTCAATGTCCCTGTTCTTGGTCACTTCTGCAGAAAGAGGAGGAAAAATCGTCCCTCAGTGGCCAGTCCCTCTGAGGTGAACCGCACAAGGGTGAAACACACAAGCTTTCGGTTCCACAGGGAAATGCCCAGGCCAGCCAGCCGAGGCCAATGCAGTGGTCAAGGAAAGGATGAGAAAAGGAGAAAGGAGTAGGCAGGGTGGAGGGAGAGTGGCGGGGGGGGGGGGGGGGGCGAGGGGGGCGCAGCCTTACCCTGGAGGCAGAGGCCGCTCCCAGGTGGTGGTCTTGGTGTTGTGGTCGACATAATAGACACGCCCGTTGGGCAGTTCTCGCTGCTCCCATCTGCAAAAGAGGCGGGTGGGGGGTGCTGGTTAGAAAGAAAGTCCCACCAACTGTCGTGGATTTCGTCTGGGTTTGGCTTCTTGTTTAGGGCGCCATACCCAGCAGTGCTCAGTACTGAGGAAATCACCCCTGGCAGTGCTCTGAGGGTTGTACGTGATGCTAGGGGTAGAACCTGGGTTGGCCACATGCAAGGCAAATGCCCGACTCACTGAACTGTATCATGCTGGCCCCTGGCATGAACTTTGAAGGGAACAGCAGAGAAGCCCCACACAACACAGCCCGGGGTCCTGTGGCCCATAACATCCAAGGGGTCCCCGTGAGTGTGTCTTGAGAAGAACCCAAACCGCCCCCAGCCCTCCAGAACTCAGTGTGCCAGGAAAAACCACTGCCACTGAACACCCTCAATGGCCCTGATGAGACTTTTCTGAACTGGTATTTCAGGGCTGTTTGGGGGTCAAAGATGTGCTGAGAGGTGCCGGGACGCACAGGCTGTTTCCTTCCCAAATGTAAGTGCCATTTCAGGGTCTCGGGGACACACCTACATTGTATCCCAGGTGCTTCAAACCTTTTGAACCCTGCTACCTCTTAAAGCCCCACAGCCAGCTGATCTCCCCTGTCCACCATGTCCACGTCTGTTTGTAGAACACAGAATTCCTTAAAACCTGGGTAGAACTAGAAGGCCAGCACCCCGCTATTTATTGGCTTTCCACCTGAGGCCAGGTGTGTAGTCAGCATGAGGTCTGGGTGCAAAGGGTGACTCATCAGGGCCAATGGGAAGAAGCAGGTAGCAGATGTGGCCCAGGGAGAACAAAGCCCAATGAGGGGCCCACTCACCCCTCACCCCACAGATTCAGTGAACTATGAGCCTGGCGCCCGCCAGTGACACAGGACCCGCCGCCCGCCCCTCCGAGCCCGTGTCCTTCTCGCAGTCTCTATTTGCTTTTAGCCTCAGGATCCTGCCTTGCAGGTGACCTTTCTTCGGGAGCTGGAACAGTTGGTTCTGCTGACATGCTTGACTTGAGCACGCGGTTTGATCCAATAGGGTGAAAAAGGAGAGACTGGGATACGCTCCGTGTGAGCAACGCGACTCTCAGGTCAGGTCTGACGTTGTTCTCCCCGAGCTCAGCCTCATTCTGGAGGGATCCACCCCCAGCAGCTACTGCAGCTGACCGGGTGGCACCGGCCTGCCCCGCCCTCTCCCGGGCTGCATTCCCTTGGCGCTCCCGAGAACCCTCTGTTTACCACATGTCCAGCGCCCTTCTGATGCCTCCGATCCCCAGTCACCGTACTCCCTGCCTCTCTCCCACTTGGCCTGTGCTCACTGCACCACTGTCTTTCTGATGTCCCTGTCATTTGTGGCACTAGCAAAGATCCAGACAGTCAAGCACCTCGTCCTTTTTGTTTCCTTGCGAGCCCTGAAGTTTTGATGCGGTGGTGTCACAGAACGCAGCTATCTGTGAGGAAACACATTCTGGCAGAAACAAAGGAAATAAAGACCGTCGCTTCTGCCACTCAGCCTGGTGCATCTGCCCCGTCAGCACAGGCTCCGCTCCCTGCCACCGCCCACTGAGGCCTGGGGGTCTGGTCCGTGCCCCCGGAAGCTAGTGCACCGATGTACTGAGGTCTGGATGGAATGAGACACACCATCGTCTGCACAGGGCTCTGGGCACTGGGCTCCCCTCAAGCCTCCGTGCTTTGATGTGGAGAACAGCCCTCCACGGGGGAGTGAGAGTGAGAAAGGTTAAGTCAGTCCCACGTGGCCACCAGCTGCAGTTGACAGATGACTCCTTTTGAACTCTGCCAGGGGACGCTAGAAGTTGGGGGGGGGAAGGGGAAGAGGAGAATTGGGGGTTAAAGGAAACTCATGACAGCAGGCAGGGGGCAGGAGGAACCTGAGCACTGGGAGGATGTTTCTCAGATCCTTCTCCACCATGGCCACCCACTCAGACACCGTCAGCACATTTGCACCACAGGGAGGGTCAGCGATGGGGACCACTGATAAGGTCAAGAGGCTCCACATTTCCAGCCCTCAGAAGGGATGAGCTCCTGGGCCGAAACCCAGGGGGCTACGAAACTCAGAAGACAGCCCCAGCTCATCTGCTCTCCCGACATTCCTGCTCCAGGTTCTGACTGAAGTGAACACTGGGGGTTTGATTTAGGCCCCCCTCAGTTTCTTCCTCCCAGCTCAGAAAATGAAGAGCCTCATACTTCCTTTGGTATTTTTAATTTGAAAGAATATTATGGCAACAAAGGGGGAGGGTATGGAGTGATAGTACAGCAGGTAGGGCTCGTATGGCCAACCCGGGCTAGACCCCCGGCATCCCATAGAGTCCCAAGCCCGCTAGGAGGGATCCCTGTGCACAGAGTTGGAATAAACCCTCAGCAAGGCCAGGGGTAGCCCCGAAGCAAAACAGAAAAAGGCCAGACGGAAGTGTAGACTGGGTGAAACTGAACATCTTCTCCCTTTGGGTCAAGTCTCAAGCAGCTACTCAAGAGGCAGGGCCCGGTCAGGTCATGGGAAGATGGTGGGGGTATCCTACCCCAGGGGCTCCTGAAGACCTCTGTGATCAGTCAGAGTAAAGCCCCAAATAACCTGGAAAGGAGCAAAGTCTTGGAAAAGAGCTAGAGGGGCTGGGGACGTGGCTCAGTGGCAGTACACTTGCCTCGCACCCAGGAGACCCCGGGCTTGGTCCCCACACCACCAACACAAGAGAAAGAGCGAGCTTCCGGGGAAGGACTGACTCGCGGAGGCTCCATCTGTGCCCAGGGGATCTGGTCGCGTGTCACCTGCACCGGGATCCTCCCTTCCCCCACAATCAGGAAGCAAACAGAGAGTCAGTCTGGACGCTTGGCTGCCACTTCCGGGAAAGCCGTCCAGGGTGAACGGATGGGGCCGCCCCCTCTGGAAACACAGGACCTGCGTGCATCTTAGAAACACTTTCTTTTCTTTTCTTTTCTTCTAGGAATCCTTGAGTCAACGGCCACTTTCATCTAACAAGGAGGCTCCTCTTTCACTTCTTTTATACTTCATCTGGGGCGAGGAAAGGGGGAGACGTGTTCATGTATGATGAGGGGTGGGGGTCAATGGGGATTCTCCGCCTGGCCAGAATTAACGCCTCCCCCGGACAGCACGCTCTCCTGCGGCTGGCCGGGGAGGGGACTGGTGACATTCCCAAGTCACAGCTGCCTGTTCCGCACCTCCACGAGCTCTGCCCAGCCCATCTTTGACGCCCGCCTGCTGACACTGCCATTGTCCGGGGAATCTCAGTGTTCTCCTGCGAACCCTCTCAATCAGCTGAGCTCGGAAAAAAGCTATCACAGGGCCAGACCTTTCATCCATTGCCTTTTCTCTTCCTTTCTTCTTTCCTATATTGACTTCTTCCCCGCTCCCCCTTTCAAATTGGACTCCTGCTCGGATTAAATGTCCAGGTGGGCACTCCCTGATCCATGACCTGGCCCCGCTGCTTTTCTTAGGGAACTCGCAACTCCTCCCGAACCCTGCACGGCGCCTGGGAATTCAAACGGACCGCTCCCCGCCATTCAGGCGACACAGCCGGGCGGTTCTTGGCTCGGCCGCCGCCTCCTGTGCTCGTTTGTCCACGGTCACCGCTGACCCACATAGACGCGGCCTTTCGACTGGCGGGGTTTGGTCTCCGCAGTGAGTCTGGCGCCGACCTTTCATCCGCCAGGGCTGAGGCTTCGGGCCCTTCTGGGCCCGCTGAGATGAATGGGCTTTTCAGGGCCGCTACCTCAGGGTCTCGGTCTGGCGTCGTTGGTCACGTGGATCACCGCCTCCGCCACTCAATAGTGCTCTTTGATGCTCTCAGGAACCGTGTTCAAAGCTTCCAGCCCAATGCAGGTCCCTTCTTCACACATTGCTCCTTGGCCTCGGATCAGTGGCTCTCAGAGGCACCAGGAGCTACACAGCCTGGTGTGTTTGAAAGTGCTTAAAAAGTTGCCTCCCCATTCAATTCATCTTAGGGGCCTTTTTTTAAAAAAATTTTAAAATATATATATATATATATTCTTTTTGGAACCTGAATTACCTTGGCTCCCATGGGTCCTAAGAGGCCGCTACGGCATCCTATCATCCTGGGGGGATGAGGGGAGAAGGGGAGAGCCTGAACCCCATCAGAGCCACACCTGCTAGCTCCTCGCAGGGTTCCTTAAGGGGTTTTGGGGAAAGAAATTCTCTGTCCTCAGTCACGGCGGGCTATATGCTGCCACCCCGATTCTGTCACCTCCAGTTCCTACTGAAGTTCCCCAACATGCAGACGGAATCCCAGATTCCCAAGGTGCAGGATTCCATGGGAAGGGATTAAAGGTGGGTGAGAATTTCAGGTCCAGATCAGAGATGTGGACGCGGTCCTCACAAATTGACTTATCGATCGGCTCAAAATATCTATCCCAGGGAGGCTCGTCAGAAGCATGACGCGTGCCAAGCCCAGCCCCGTCCAGCTGCCACGCACCCTCCTGCAGACCCGCGTGTCACCACTGAACACACGCTTTTTGCCCGGGGAAGGGGTGGCGGGGGAGTCGCCCTGGTGCCCATCGACACCCCAAACAGATGGCTTGCCCGCGCGGAGACAAAGACCCCACTCCAGAAACAGGGCCGGGAAGGCCTGAGTGGACTTTGGCCGTGGCCTGGGTGAACCTGAAGCTTCCAGATGCCTCTCTGAGCCGGAGAGTGGCAAGATATGCTTCCCCCACCTGGGTGGTGGGAGGGGTCAGGCTGCAGCAGGGTCTGGACACAATGAATGGGGCGGGAAGCGGGAGACTCAGCCAGCCGCTCCCAGTGTGGCAGTCCAGGACCTGCTGAGTGACCCCTTAAGCCCCAAGCAAGGCACAAACCCCTTTACAGAGCCCTTGCCTCCCCAGCCCCCCCGGGGGCCCCCCGCAGGGCCGCGGTCTCTGATTCCCTCTAATTTTCTTCTCCTTCAACCATTCCACTTTCTCTGCCTTGGAATAAATCATCTTCTGGGCTCTTCAGGGGAAGGTGA